CAGTCTCCTAATAAATGCAGATGAATTATGCTCTTTAAAAACCTCAGAGGAGGGAAAAGGATTTGGAAGTGAGTGATAAAACTAAGGGCTACACTGGTCTTCCTAAGACCAAGAAAGCAATTGTTGAGGTAGTAGGAAAAACGCCAAGGCTGTGCTTTTTCATCCTCCTGCATCCCAAGATTCAGTTACACTGAGCTCTCTTTAAATGCTTTGCTTTATTATTTCCATGACTGTAGGAATTCAGATACGTTGCTATGTTTTCCCCTGAACAACTGAATTATAAAACAACTGAACTGTGAAAGTTACTCTCAGATCATGTGTTGGGTTTGTTGAAATACAGCTGGATGGACCCTATCGCTAGAGTTTGGTTCAGTGGTTCTGGGATGGGAACCAAGAATTTGTAATTTTAACAAGTTCCCAAGTGACGCTGATGTAGCTGGTCTGCGGACCACACTCTGAGAACCACTGTCTTAGATACATCTGAGTTCTGGAGCCGCGAAACACACCCCGTGCCAACCATGTGTCCAATGTTGAAGGGTCAATTAACTGGACTGTTAAATGAGCACTTAGGGCAGTTTATCTGTCACATAAAGACCTAAGCCTATTTCATTGTGCTACTTGGCACCACATCGCTCGGGAGAAATGGGGGAGCTTTTTACCCAAAGAAAACCTTAAAGCACATATCCCTAAAGCACATCACCCCAATTCCCTCCAGGCTGTACAGTGTTTCAAACCTAGATATTTCGGGATTGCTACTTTCTGTGCTCTCTGCTCCCTTTACTCTGTGGTTACTTAAAAAAATCAATCAAAGTGAAAATCCTCATGACTTTGCCTCCTGGTAACTTCCCTACAGCTGCACACACCCAGTCCGCTCCACTCACTCAGGATTCTCAGCAGTTTAAGGCAGCTAAGTGTTACTTGCCCTAAGTTATACATTATGGTAGCAGAGGAAAATGGCCAGGCTGCTTCTATAGTGAGGCAATAAGCTTTTATGCTCCTGAAATGTCATAAGCCTTAATGTTTCGCTACCTTGATGATGTAAGACTTAGAGAAGGGTTAGACAATTAAGTGGTAGGATTCAGACAAGTTTAGAAGAAGAGGAAAAGGATGAGGAAGGTGGAGGGAAGATCCCATCTCACTTAATAAAAATATAAATTCCATTTTTAGACCAGGAAGCAATTTATTCATATTTTGCTTACCGTAGAGTACCAGGCTTCCTTCCAAGGTAGGAGAAGGATTCAGCAAGAGGAATAACCATGGCAACCTGCCCAGCGATGTGGGCAGTGCGAGTATGGGGCTGCCTTCACTTGGAAGACATTTTATTTACAGCCTGGTCTCTCAGTTTAGCACGGATGTCCCTCCCTTCCCACTTCCTTCAGCTATAGTGCTGACTTCAGGGGGAAGGGCCGGCCCCCCTCTGCAGGGAGTGCTAGATGGGGGTGGGGGAGACTTCAGGGAGACCAGAGGAGGTCAGCTTGATCGAACCAAACTGCGGGCTTCCAGGCAGGGAACAGAGAGTAACTCCCTGCCTGCTCTAGCGTGAGCACAGCAAACACGCCGGTTTTGTTAATATTAAGTGCTTGAATGATTAACATCTCTCAGGTAGACAAGCTGTGCCCAATTCTGATAAAGAAATTCTCCATTTTGTTGTCAGTTCTTGCTAAGATAACATAGTTCGGTTGTTGGAGGGGCAAAAACAACGAAACAAAACAATTTCTAAGCCTGACAGAGTGAAGTATTTTAAGCATGTTAGATTAAGTCTTCCCAACAAACCCAGGGGTAGATACAACTATTTTCTGCAGATAAGAAAGCTTGCCGAGAGGTTATGCAATTTGCCCAAGGTCAGGTGAGCAGCTGTGCTGTAACTGGGATTTGAACCAAGGCCAGGGGAGGCCATGGGACTCCAGAACCCACACGCTCAGCTACTAGGCAACAGACCGTGCTGGGCGGGAGGAAGAAACTGGCAGGGGCCAGCCCTCTGGGTCCACACTCAGTGCCATTTGCTCCCCTCAGCAGAAGTTAGCGTGTGTTTGGAAGAAGGGGAGACTTGCTGGCCTGCTTCCCTTCCCATCCACACAATCCATCGAGTCAGGAAATGCGCCCATGAGCTAGGCTTCCCTGAAACACACCTCCCTGGTGCTATAGCTATTTCATCTCAGTGTGATTCGGGCCTGCCTACCCCTGACCCGCTCCGTGGCATGCTTCGACTTTAGAATGACACAGCAGGACCAGGGAGAATTTCAAATGACCACATCCTGCTACTCAGGTGTGTCAGGTTGCCAATCTCGTTCTCATTCTGGTTCTGTCTGCGGGGTAGGAACCTGGTGTGGTAGGTCAGCCTGGTGTGGCTGAAACTTTCCCCCCAACAGTGCGGTGCGCTTTCGGGCCTTGCACCTCGGTGGGGGGGGGGGTTGCTCTGAGGACCCGGAGAGCAATGAACCTCCTGGAGAGCCCAGGCTGCCGTGCAGCCTTCTCAGCTAGTTCAGCACCTTAGCTTTTTGTCTTTAAGAAGAGCATTACTGAAATCTTCGAGTCAGGAGAGACTGAGGAAGAGACACCCATGAAGCCTTCAAACCTATCCCGGTACAAAATACTGGTGGTAGAGGGCTTCAGCTTGCAGACATGAGACGGAGCAGCTGTCCCGTACTTGCTGGGCCACCAAGAGTCCACGTCTCCACAAAGCCTCCTGCCAGCAGGAGCCACTCAGCAAGGCCCTGGCTATCCTGCTCTCCTCATCTTCCGCTAACCGAGGCGTGACCAAGCACACCAACAAATAGCACCCCCACCAGCCAGCCAGCAGCTTCCAGAGGTCCCTGTCCCACCACCTTCACGCCCACAAGTGTCTTAAGAGCAACTCCTTTTGGTTCAAGCAAAGTGACTGACATCCTTTCAACCTTGTGAGCAAGGCAAAGAATAAGCTTAAGGCATAAGAATTTGGACTTTCAGTTGAATCTAAAACTATACAAATCCTTGAGTGGACATGCAGGCTCCAGATCGTCTTTAACAAATTAGGCAAGGCTTTTTAACAAGGGCTGTGTCTCCCTTCTCTCCTCATATCCTCAGGTGCAGACCAACAGAGCCCAAGATCCCCAGGATGGCAACCTCACACGTGTCCCTGGTCAAAGGTGGAAGACGGCCCCTACCATCTCTACCATCTACGTGTTCTGGTCGGACGTTACAGTGGAGGAGGTCGTAGCTTAGGAAGAACCGGTTTCTAAGGCAAGTCATCGGACAAGAAGTGGTAGAGATGGCGGTGGGAAAGGAAGGGAGACGTTAAGTCATTCAACAACAGGAAAAATAACCCATTCTGCTTTAGGAGGAAAAGGACGAAGGACTTAGAAGAAGAAACCTGCCCCAGGAGTACACATCGGAACACACCGCTAGGTCTCCTTTGTGCTTTCTCCAGACCATTCACAGGGCACACTCTGCATTGTGTTATGTTGTGCTGCGTTGTGTGCCATGGTCCTTCTCCGAAGGTTGAGGACAGCTCAGTCCCAAACACTCCTGAATCCTCCACTTTCTTACAGCGTCATTAGGCTCATCTGCCCTTCAGTGGGGGTGAGACCGAGCCTGGGGTGGGTGCCTGGGGTGGGCGGGCATGGGGCCCAGAGAAGCACAGCCCAGTCCAGGTCCGGTTGCTGGTGTAAGAAACCATCGTGGAGCCGGCACAGGGAGCGGAGACAAGCCCTTGGGTGGCTGCTGGGCTCTCCCATCCCCGCTAGTTCCTCCCTCCCCAGCAGCCGGTTCAGGCTCCGGTGCGGGGGAGTCAGTCACCCTCTAGCCTGCAAGGGAGGCCAGTTATCCATCCCATCAAAGCCATTCCAAGAGCCTTATCAGATGTCTTGAAGGCTTTTTTTTTTTTTTTTTTTTTTGTAACTGCTTTCTTTCCTGCTCGGCCATCCCTTCTGCGTGAGCTACCTCTGTCTTCTCCCTTCTCCCCCACTCCCCTGCTTTGCCTGATTAGCGCCAGAAATTTTTTCATTAAGTCACTTTATAGTGCAATAACAACATTTACTATTCATGAAGTCCCCCCTCCGTAATTGTTAAGTTTTTCCATGTGTCTGGAAGCTTATTGCTGCTCTGCTCATTTTACAGAGTGTCTCTCTTCCTTCCAAACACAAACCGGAGAGAAAGAGGAAAAGGGCTGGGGAGGAGATAACCTCCAGATTCTCGAAGCGTTTTTAACCCAGTAAAATTCCCCTCCGGACTCAAACAGCTCCCTGCTGGAGCGGACCGGGGACCCGCATTCCCGGCTGAGAATTAAGTCAGGAAGAAAGGACGGCAGAGACGGGCAACAGAGTCCGCTCTATGCTTTGGAAACCGCTGTTTTGACTGGGGCTGCCCGGCTTTAACCCATTCATTGTCCCCCCGTTTTCCACAATTCTCCCTTCATCTTTCCAGCCGCGTCTTAACGGCGAGCAGGCAAACACCCTTTAACCGCTCTGGGCTGCGTGGATGGAAAACAAGTTTGTTCAGTGTCTTGGGCAGATAACTCTCTTGTTGCGGGTGTAAGACAAAGTTCAGGTTTTCGTGCGCTGCGTTGTCAGTCACCGGGAAAACGCTTCTCCGGGGCACACACCAGGTCCCCAGCCTTGGTCACACCGCAAACATAAAGACCCTCGGAGGAGTTAACGAGGCGGCCGGCGGGCGCCCCGGAACCCCGCCGGGGCTGTCCGAAGAGCACACAGACGCGCGCGCGCGCACACACACACACACACACACACACACACACACACACACAAGGGAGGCGCTTGTGAAATGTCACAAGCCGGACATCTGGAGCCCGACCCCAAAGGTAAATGCATTCCAGGGCGGCATTCCTGGGATGTCAGGCCGCACCACCACCCAACCGCTGGTGTCCCAAAGTCCGCCGCCTCCTGGCTAAAGATTCCCCAACAGGCCCCCCGGCTGCACCCCAAAGGGGGGGAAAAAAAAGCAAAGGAGGGAAGGAGGTCGCAGACCATGGAGCCAGAGGGGAGAAGGGTTGGAAAGCTACTCACAGGCTAGCTAGCGCCGCTGCGCAGCGAGCATCACTCGCCCGCGCCCGAGCCTCCAGGCAGCCGCGCAGCCCACACGGCGCGGCCGCGCTTAAATAGCCGCGGGCCCGGGAGCCTCCGCCGCGGGCCACTCCCGGCGAGATATGGTTGTAATCAGATGCTGGCAGCTGAGGACTCCCCAGGAATGCGCCGGGATGTTTTTGCTGCCCGGGCTCTCGGTAACTCCCCCTCAACGTGTCTGCTGAGTCTTCCAAACTTAACTGTTTATTAACTCGGGGCGCCCCCGCGCACAGGACACGGCTGCGCCCGGCTCGCGAGCCCGGCCAGCGGGGGGCGATCGCAGGGAGCCCAACGGCGCGGAGGGGAGGGGACAGCGGGGCGCCGGGCCAAACCCCAGACTCAGACCCGCGGGGCTGGCCCGGAGCCGGGGCACCGGGGAGGGTGCAAGTGAGGACAGGGAAGGGAAGCTAGCTCCTCGGGGAAGGGGTGGGACCCCGACCTTCATCCCGCCGGTTCCTTCCTGGATTGCCGGCCGCGGCGAGGTGGCGCACGGAGCCGTCCCAACCCGTCGGGTCTCCGGGAACAAAGGACTGCCTTCAGTCCCGACTTTCCCGGCCAGAGGCAGCTCCCAGCTCAGATCTGCTGCTGCCCCGGCCGGCCCCGTGGTTGCCTCCTCTGAAGGGCTCGGGGGTCTCTTCGGTTACACGTGGGGGTTCACTTAACTCGGCGGGAAATCTCCGTGTTTATATGTTAAAACCTACTGTGTTTACCCATGAAATAGAACCCCGTGTATACAGATGTAAAAACAGTCCTCCTTCTATGAAATCGACATAAACAAAAACGTTCGTGTCTGTAGAACCTGCCTAAATCAGCTATAGGTCCGACGTCAACTAATTACACGCTGGCTTCCCCCGCGCTGCGTGTGCATCCCTGTGTGGGCGTCTCACAGGGCTTTATCGGCACTCATTTCCACGGCGTTTCGTACATCTCTATGAAACGTGGGGAATATGGGGGAATAAAATATCCGGAACTGTCGCCGTGCATGCCGAGCGGCAGAAAAGCACGCCACACCGTGTCTCCGTGAACCTTAACGCGTGGGGAGTTCATTTTCTCCATATTTAAAAACCGTGGGCACTTGCAAAACATCCCGCAGCAGCTTTGGTGCTTTTTAAGAATGGCGAAAATATTCTTGTGAAACGCACGTCTGTGTCCTCGCTCCCTTTATTTTTATGCAGACACAGCGTGTCCTAAAATACGTGAAAGTGCCGAATTGTGAGTTGGATGGGAAAGGGTTATTGATTCGACGGAGTAAGCGAGGCACAGCACGTTTGCATTTTACCTCTGGAAGCATGGGGCTCCCGGGACACCAGGGATGTATTTTGTGGCCCAAGCCCGGCCCCGAGGGCAAAGCCGCTGTGCAATTTGGGGCAGCTCAATGTGAGTGGCAGCCCCTGGTCTCAAGCAGGTCAGGCTCGGAACAGCCAGGGTCGCAGGGGCAGAGGGCGGCCCAGCGCCCTGAGGATGGGCATCCCGTCTCTCCTGGGTCCTGCTGTGTCTGCCACCTGTCTCATGCCCTCACACCTGGGGGTGCGCGGGGCAAGGAGGTTTTCCCCGACCGTTTTCAATATCCCTGTGAGGTCATCTGCCATTGTTTGTTTAAAAGAACTTCGTGTGAATGGCAAGAGGTGTACACACTTGAGTCTTAGGATGGTATTTGTAACACGTATGCAGACTCGAGCACATCTTAGGACCTACCTAGCCCTTTACTTTCCCAAGGGGTGGTTACACTTCGTAGGCTAAGAAGCTGAAGACAGAAATGACGACTGATTTCGGGCGAAGGAAGGCTTTGGCAGTTAAAAAAGAGAAAACAAAAAAGGTCTCTAGGTCTCCACTAATCCTCGATATGCAATACTTTCTCAGTTCAGGAGTGGCCCCCCCAAACCTATCGTTTTGAATCAAAAAACACTCTTGCTGAGAAATGCTAGCTTGTGTTTGCTCTGCCCCGGCAAAGGGGCAGGATTTGCCTAAGGAGCCAGAGGAAGAGAATGATTTCATCTGCAACGTGCTGTAGTTTGGGGAGGACTGTGATGAAAACGGGGCTTTCACAAGCAGCGGGCTCACCCCCCACCCCCAGACGGCTTCCAAGGGACAGTGTGTCAGTTCACACAGAGATCTCAGGAGTCGACCGTGGAGAACTCTATTTGAAGTGCATTTTTATTCTCTACGGCTCCGATATTGCTTCTGGCAGTACTTCAGTGTCCTGCTTCCCTGAAGAAAAAAAAAAAATGAAAATCATTTAACCCTTCTTGTCCCCGGCGGCACACTGTCCCCTGTTCCGGCGCTGTTGTTCGCTTCTCTGGAGGACTCAAACGAACACCCTTGCAGCTGTGAGCTACAGCCTGATCCGCCCAGATATTAACTCTGCCTAAGCCGTGGTCTTTTCCTGTTGCCACCGAAATTAACGTTTGAAAAGTTAAAGTGAGGACAATTCCACGCAGCACTGGAAACTCGGGTCCTCGAGTGACTCCTCCCCGTGCACAAAACCTGCCTGTGAGGGAGAAGGGAAAAAAAAAATAAAACTGACGGCTGCATTCCCAGCCTAGGAAAGGGGTAGTTAATCCCGTGATGGCTTGCTGAAGAATGCATGGTTTATTATTAAAGTAATCTCTTAAGATTTTCCTGGAATGTGCTTCCCCAGCAACTCTGTCTGTGCGAGCTATCCTGTGTGTATGTCTTTTCTTCCATAATTAAGCTGGTTTTTCCCCCCGTGGCTCCCAGAACTCATGCTCTCTCTCTCTCTCCCCCTTCTGCAGAGCTTCTTCTTCCCCCTTCCCTACTGCCCTCGTCTCCCTGAAACATCCATTTTGAAGCCTGCCATGTCTCAGGAACTGTCCCTGCCCCTCTGCACGTGGCCACAGGTGAACTGTGCACCTCGGTGCCTCACCGGACACTTCCAGCTGTCCGCCTCGGACAAGGTGAAGTCTGTGGGGCTAGCAAGGTCATGTCTTTTCTTTCCCACCTCCTCGGCGTCCTTTAAAAGGAAGAGAATAGCTATTGTTCTCAGAAAATGTTCTCTGAGCTTGATAGGTCCTGCATATTTATAGACGCAGAGAAACTGGCCCTGCCAGATTTGACTCTTGACAAGGCGGGACAAATACTGGAGGCCTTTCCCTGTCTATCTATCTATCTATCTATCTATCTATTTATTTATCTAAAATCTAAGATTTAGGATATTGGGAGGGTAGCCTCCTTGAAGGCAGTTTGTTTTTGTTTTGTAGGTTGCTTTGGTTTGTTTTCTGGGTTACACCTCTCTTGCATCTCAGAACTCCATGCTTCATATGTGCCTGTGATATGAAATATTAGTAAAACTCAGTGGTGCTTGAAAAGTAGAAATGGTGTAAAGTGAAGAACATTTAAAAATTCAATATGATGCATTTATATAATCAAATACATTTTTTTTACCAACATAACTTTTTATAATGAGAAGAGTAAAGTTAAAAAAGAATACTCAGTCCTGGCCAAGTGACTTAGTTGGTTGGAGTGCTGTCCCATACACCAAAATGTGGGTTTGATTCCCAGTCAGGGCATGTACATAGATTGCAGGTTCGATTCCCGGTCAGGGAGCATGCGGGAAGCAACCAACTGATGTCTCTCTCTCTCCCTTTCTCCTTCTCTACCTCCCTCCCTGTCTCTTTTCCCCTATCTCTAAAAATCAATAAGTGTGTCCTCAGGTGAGGATGAAAAATACTACTAATAAAAAAGAATACTCATATGAATTACTGGTTAAAATATTATCTTATTGGAAAGTAAGCTGGAAAGAGTTATTAAAAATAAAATGCATATACAGTAATCTGCAAAATACTAATATTAATGATTATTTTAGCAAACACATGTAGTTCACTATCCCATGTATAAAATCTATCCCCTAGAAATAAACAGATATGTAAAATACAAAGATGTTAATTGCTTCCTTGTCCATAGCAGCAGAACCCTGGGAACAAATGTTTGTCAATAGGAGAATGATGGAGTAAGTTATGATTTATCTGTGTGTGAAATAATATTCAATTATTTAAAGGACTAAATTGGAGTTCAACCTCGTAATGTGGAAGGATATTTATGAGGTATTGTTGAGTGAGAAAAGCAAGATACGGAAAAAGTGTAAGCGATGCTTTGATTTTAGTAACGTGGGGCACACACAACACGGGCTCATGCAGCTGCGAGCACACGTGTTTGGGTGTGCCCGAGTCGCAGGGGGACTGGAGACTGGGCTGGCATAGCAATCCCTGCGACCCGATGGAGGTCAGAGCAGACGGGGGAGAGAGAGCGGGGAGAACGCTGTGCTCAAAGGAAACAGAAACTAAAATGGCCTGCATGTAGACATCAATCACATTTACACATCTAAGTGAAATGAAATACGCACACGTTTGCGTAATTTTTTAAATGCGCCAAAGGACTTGAAGATAAAAAGGAAGAGTTGTCGAGTCTCATAAAGTAACTTTCATTGTCGCATTTTCCACAAGGGCTTTCGAAAGGGACTATTCACCGTGGTTCTCGTGTTCTAAGTCGGTCTCCAGGGCAATGGTTCTTACACTTCAGCGGTCAGCACAGCCGGCCCCGCAAGCTCGCTCGCTCGCTGCAAGGGCAAACTCCAGGCCCCAGCCTCAGAGGCCTGGACTGGAAAGGCGTGAGGGCAGGCTGGTGGCGGCGTGTGCAGTCCCTGGAACGTGTGCTTTTACTCAGCACCTCCTGGGACTCGGCTGCTGGAGGCTCGGAGACCACACGTTTAGAAATGCTGCGTTTCTCCTGCAGTCAGGGGACACTCGGTTTTTCCTCTGCGCGGGGATGAGAACTGCGCGGAGAGGGAGAACCACGAGGTTAGGAGGGAGGAAGTGGGCGCATCACCTCAGGTCCTGGCCTTTCTCCCTCTCTTTGGCTCTCAGCAGCCTCCGAGGCCTGGCTCTGGGGGTGCCATGGGTCAGAGCAGCAACAGGCCCCCCCCGCCATTTTTGACCAGGTGGAAGAGATGGTCAACCCTAACCTGCACCCAATTTAAGGTTACCCAGAAAAAGAGAAGATTACAGGACTCCCAACTCCTGGGACGACCCTGTACTAAACCCTGAACTGATACTCCGTCTTGGCTTCAAAGGGGCCATTGGGAAATTGAAACTGTATATTATGTACAAGGTTGCCTTTATGATATAGCAAAGAAAGTGGGATTCAGGATTAGATGCAGGTGAATGTCCCGGCTCCA